CAATATTCTTCGCCAACACCATAATTCAAAGGTGTCTGTCAATTCTTCATACTGTGGTGGTTTGCATGTTGCTGTGATGCTGGAAGCTATGCCACTGGTATTTCAAATACCAGCAGGGTCACCCATGGTGGATACGTTTCAGTGGAGCTTCCAGACTAAGAAAGACTAGCAAGAAGGACGTGGCAATCCACTTCTAAAAAAAATTGTACAGTGAAAACTTCATGAACCTTCTAAAAGAGCCTCCTTAAAAGATTTAAAGTATATCCATTTCAGCTACAAGAACTCAAAAGAAGTCATCCTATTACATTTGGTTATTTCCTTCCTTGGTTGGGAGTGACATATATGTATGCCTTTTCCTGCCTTCCTTGGATGTTGTAGCTGTCTCTCAGATTCCTGCTGTAAGAATCAAGTTATGATTCCCTATACCTTTGGCTACCATGGAAGTAAAGAAGGCTTGAAAGCTTGAGACCAGCAGGAGGTTAACTAGAGCAGTGATTTTCAAGTTTTCTGATAGCAACTCACAGTAAGAATTTTATATCGTGGCTCATTACACACATATGTATGTGCATATGTACGTATATAAATAATTGAAAGAGTTTCAGAAAACATTATTTACCCTTACCATATGTTTTATAGTGTTCTTTCCTCCTCCCTTCCATTCTAATCCACTTTTAAAAACATACTGGTTGCAATTTCATTAAACTGATCTCATCGCCCACTAGTTGGTCCCGACTGATCTAGAGCTGGGGTCAAGAAACTATGGCTCACAGACCAAATCCAGCCACCATCTGTTTTTTCTTAGTAAAATTTTACTGCAACAGAGCCATGCGCATTCATTTACATACTGCCTTTTAGGCTACAACAGCAGAGCTGAGAATTGTGACAGAGATCCAATAGCCTGTAAAGCCTAAAATACTTATTATCTGACACTTACAGAAAAAGTTTGCCAACCCCGGATCTAGAGCCATCAAATAACTCCTTTTTCAGCAGGGACTGGATGTGCTGTTTGGCATCTAATAAAGCTAATAAATGCATACACCCCTGGAGGAATCTAGATCTTCTAGTTTTCTAAAATTACATTAGTGATGCAAATGAAAAGCAAATCAAATGTGCTCATTAAATGAGCTATTTGTGATCTCACTGTATGATCTAGTACCCCAACTGCTGAAGGCTTAATCTAATATTACGATTAAAATCAACCTGTAATCTAAGTGGGAAGAGAGGTGACATAAGAAATTAAAGTAAGCAAAAAATACAGGGTGGGTTAGCAGGTGGGACAAAGGCAGGCTCTGGACTATTGGAAAAAAGAGTAACATCATTTGCACAACTCTCTGGGAGCTGCCAATCTCACACTAATCTTGGCTCAGCTAACACTGAAGCCAGAGTCAATCACAGCACCAAAACCCACTAACAACATCACACTGGGAAGCTCCTAGCAAAAGCCGCCACAGCAGTGGTGCAGCTGGGGCCAACATCCATTATTTATGAGATCTTTCCCACGTGAGGTCCCTGTAGATAAGAAAGGGACCTTTAACTTTTTTTTTTTTAACATGTACAATTCAGTGATATTGATTATATTCTTTAAGTAGTACAACCATTCTCGCCCCCCTTTTCCAAACTGTTCATTCCTCATTGACATAAAGTCTCGGTCCCCAAAGCTTTTTATCTGATCTTTTGAGCTGCTATTGTCACTTTGATCCCATGTAGATACTTCAAAGGAGTACAATATTCAAGGCAAACATTCTTTACTAAAAAGCTAACGTTGTTTGGTTTAAAGAAGACTTCAGGGGATATGTCTGGTTTAAGGTTTAAAGATTATCTCAGGGCAATAGTTTTGGGGGTTCTTCCAGCCACAGTGGCTCCAGAAAGTCTGGATTCCATTTTGAATTATGTTCCTCATTTTCCCCCTTTTGATCAGAGATTGTTTTATAGAATCTCTGATCAAAATGTTCAGTAATGGTAGGAAAGGCTTTTTTTCTAATTAACTTGCAAAGCACAGGGTGGGACAGTGATGTAAATGAGGGTTTGGCCAGTGCTGATGACTCACTGACCTGATGCCCTGCTGCTCATTGGAATGCAGACTGCAATTCTTTTTCCCATACAAAAATTTATACATACATTGTTATGTGACTCTAATTGCTCTACCCATACTGTGACAGCACACTCTGCCTTTCCACCCCTGATTCCCCATGTCCATTCAACCATCTCCTATCCCTCTCTGCCTTCCCATCTCACCTCCGGACAGAAGTTGCCCGTTTAGTCTCTTGTAAAAGGGACTTTTAATATTTGGGAAAAGGTATATAAAGATTCTCCATACCCAAGGTTCCCAATGGCCTATGTACCTGTCATCCTAGTCCAGAGAAGGGGCCTCAGTGGCCAAGCTTCAGAACCTGAAGGTACATAATGAAGAAAAAACTGGTATGAGAGGGGGCAACCACTACCAGTTAGCAAACAACTTAAGGTTGTTTTTGGCCAGGAATGGGAAGAGGCTCAAAAAAACTCTGATAAAGGACAACTCTCCATCTTCAACCAAACAATCCCAGAAAATATGGTGTGGTGATAGACAGCTGGTGATAGACAGCAATACAAACACACTACCTATTTAGACACATAGTGCAGGAACAGAAGAGGAATTCAGTTAAATGATCACTCTCACCAGAGTGACACTCAAAAGTTTATCATTTTGGCAGTCCGTGGAAGTGCAACCACTCATGAACACAAGCTTTCCAAATTCTCCTATTCCTCCCTCAAAGAACAACCACATGAAGGTGCAGCAAAAGTATGGGTATCTATTATAGACTATCAGTAGTCCTTACACAATTCTATCTCGAGAAAACAAAAAATCAATGGGCAAGTATTAATCTGGCAACACATCTCAATACAGATCAGAGGTAAAAAAATTCCCAAACGTAGGACTAATTCATGCGACAGTACCATCCACACATGGAACCATAGCTGACTAAGGTCTAGATCAGTGCTTGGGATCTTGTTTAAAGGCAGATTCTGATCGAGTAGGTCTGAGACGGGGCTTTACTTCTTCATCTCTAACAAGCTTCCTGGTGCTGCAAAGTCTTCCGACCAAACTTTGATAGCTGGAATCTCTAGAGCATGCTTCCACATACATTATGCCTGGATCTCCTGTCGTAAGCTGCTCAGGTTACCAGTACAGGTGGCAAAGTCCCACAAAGCTACAGGGGACCAGAACACAGCTGGAATTTAGACAACACCCTTATCATCCCAAGTTTTAGACAGCGACCAGTCTAAGGTGGCATGGGGTATGTCAAAACTATTAAACAAATATTAAGGGAGCTATGAACAAAAAGACCCATGTGAGATCATGGCCATTTTCCAGGCACTGAGGCTGGCCATCAAGGATGGCTTGACTTGCTCCTCAGGCAGAGAGAACTCTAAGACTAAGCATTAATTGAGCACCAAGCTACCATCCAAAACTCTAATAAATGATAATCAATAATCAAAGAACTCAATACTGCAGAGAGATTAGAAGGGGAACCAGAAGCAGAAGAAAGATTTCAACAAGTTATGAAAGAGAGAAGAGTAGAAAAGAAAAACTAACTGTCCAGAACTCCAGAGAGGCTTCAGGATAAAAGTCAGAAGACAACAATAACAAAATAACAACAAAAAACTCTTCTATAAAGAAACTGAATAAGGACAATGTGTCACAAACCAAAATTGCGATTAATCTGAAGTTGTACTAGAAGGAACAATGAGAGAAAGAAAGGATGGGAGGAAATGAAGAAGAGGAAAAGGGTACAATGAACTTCCTCAGAAGAACTAGGATAAGAAGTGTGGATGCCAGGGTACAGAGTAACCCCCACCCCACATGGCATTTGTGACTTCCTTGCCTCTGGACCAGGAACATCTACTCTCAAGTACAGCCTGACAGTTACCAAGTCCAGCCATAAACCCAAACAGACTTTCTATTCATGGGAGAGACATCAAGAAGATGAGAGGCTTAGAGAAAAAAGATCTGATAAAACAAGAAAAAAAAATCTAATAAATAAAATAACTGACCTCCTAAGAAACAGAGACAATTCAAAGAACAATAAAATAAAAACAAAAATTCAGTATCTTCAAAGATTCAAGACCTTGTATTCATAAAACAATGAGAAGTTATGAAAAGGCAATAAAAATTTTTAAAAAACTGCTTAGAAGTTAAACACGAAACTTGCAAAATAAAAAAAAGCATTTAATAGGAGGCTTGCAAGATAAAGTCAGAGGAAGGAGAGCGAGATTTGGACACAGAGACACAAAGAAGACACACAGAGGGAAGACAGCCTTGTGAAGATGGAGGCAGAAACTGGAGTGGTGCAACTATAAGCCAAGGAATGCCAAGCACTGTCATCAACCACCAGAAGCTAGGATGACGCTAAGGATTCTTCTCTAGAGCTTTCAGGGGAAGCATGGCTCTGTTGACACCTTGTTTGGATTTCTAGCTTCCAGCACTGTGAGAGAATAAATTTCAGTTGTTTTAAGCTACCTAGTTTGTGGTAATTTGCTACAGCAGCTCTAGGAAACCAATACAGACTGACAACATAAAAGTAGAACTGGAAAGACTGAAAGAGGAAAGAGCAAATAAAGGGAAGAGGAAGGGTGTTAATAATCTCATCCATTTCTAAAGCAAGTAAAGAAGTACTGTCTAAAGCTGACAGATCAAGAAAAGGAAGTTATATTTAGGATAAAAAAGGTAGGAAGAGGGTACGCAAACTCAATTCTCTTCCTTTCATAGTGGAAAGTAAACAGATGAGATTCTAAATTAAAAATCAATTTTAAAAAATCAATGTAAGCACAATACTTAAAAAAGGTAAAATGGGAAGGAGGGTCTAGAAAAGAAGCGCTATATGTATTTTTTTACTTTGTACACATATTTGACGAAAATGTTAAAAGAAAAAACGTCTTACTACCCCAAACCCCTAAAACGGAAATAATATTAACAGTTTCATTAAAAATTATAATTATTAAAAAACATTTTTGTTGCATACCTGAGACTCTTCAGAGTGGTGCTGAAAATATTCCATATTGCCCATAATGGCAGTTCCCAGAATTGACATAAGAGCCATCTTGTGATCTGATACTCTGCTTTTCTGCCAAATAACTGCCTAGGGATAAAATGACACAGACAACTTGTAAGAAAACTTAGAGAAACTCTACTTTTTATATTTATTTAGCATTCATCCCCAGTGTATAATTTCAATATCATTTAGAAAAGTATCATGAGCTATACAGTCTGACAGAACAAATCCTGGTTCTGAATTTTAGTAGTTGTATATGTTGCAATGCACAATTTACTTAACTTCCCCGAGTCTCAGTTTTCTCCTCTCTACAAAGCGACTAAGATTATTTCTCTCCTAGAGTTGTTGGAAGATCAAGATCTATGGAGGCAAGCACTCAGGCCGCTGCCTGGAATATAGTTTCATTAAATATTCTCTCCTCTCCCCTAAACCCAAGCCCCCTCTTCAGAGTACATTTACATTAAATTTTTACTCCAAGTAAAAAATTTTTTTTTTTTGAGGATGGGCAGCTATGCTATAGGATTTATGTAAATACTAGTCAAACAGGTATAAAAGTTAAGAAAAAATGTTCTTTAAAATTACCTTTGTAATTCCCTTTTATATACAGAGAACTCACAGAAAGCTAACTTAACTTTACAGATATAAAAGGTAAATATGAGCTTGGATTCTTTTCACTGCATGTATATAGTAGTGTACTTTAAGAAAATCATGATCAGGTTTGACATACTGCAATTTCTTCAGTTAACAAGCCCCAAATATAGTCAGATCCCTTAAGAAATCATCAATGCAGATACAACCAATTCATTCATTCAACAAATAATTAACTTAGCACTCTTAGGTCCAGAAAAAAATGTGTAAAGGACAAAGGAGAAGACATTAAGGATCATCAACATTCAAGGGGCAGGCAAGGAAGAAGAGGAGACGGAAAAGGAGTCACTAGAGGCAGAAAGAACAGCAGGGGAGTGTGGTGAACAGGATAAGAAAGTATTACAAGAAAGAAGTCGTCATATGTGTCTAACATTGAGAGATCAAGCTAAGAACAGAGATGTGACCACTGGAACCAGGCGGGTGAGGTAGTTTTAGAAGAAGCAGAGTAAACAAAGGCAGATTTCAGTGATTTGAATTGTGACTATAGAAGGACATTAAAAAGTAAAGCTAGACAGCTCTCTTTGAGAAGGTGTGGTGTAAAGTACAAGCAGAGATAGCATAGTAACTGGAGGCAGGTATGGGTCAAAGGGGAGTCTTAATACGACAGACTTGAACAGGAGGCAGTAAGGTTCAGATGCAGGTAGGTCTGTACATTCAGTGGCTGGAGGTTGAGAAAGTTCCTCTTCCTTCTCTTCCATTTTTTGTAAGTATAATGAAGAAAGAGAGGTCATTTGCTGAGAGTGGAAAAGACAGTGGTTTAGAGATTTAAGAACTGTGGAGAAAGACTGAAATAGCCCTTGTGGGATGCTAACAAAAGATATAGAATTACCAGACAGTACTAAAAGCCCACTTCAGGTAGACCATCTTTATGTTGCTCAGAAGACTCTAGAAAGACAGTACCCACATCAAAAAAGTAGTTTTCAGTGAACCAATCTGGTATAATTGAGCAATAAGATTCTGCTTCCTATCCTACATTGTGTATGGCTGCATTTTTAGATCACCTTGACAACCAATGAAATTGGCACATTAGGCACAGAGGCAGACACACATAGGGGAAGACAGATGCCACCTCAGGATGTGCCACAAGCCAAGGAGCTCTAAGAAATCAGAGAACACTCCACAGCTACCAATAATCAAGACCTTGACTTGAACTTTTAGCCTCCAGAAGCATGATAAAATAAATTTCTGTTCTTTAAAGACACTCACTTTTGGTATTTCTGTTACAGTGGCACTAGATAACTAAGATGGCATCTTAAGGGATAGTAGTGAAAGTAACATTTACAGGAATTATTTCTCTAATTTTTTATGGTGAACCATTTACAAACTTTGGTACTTTAGCCAAGTATTGCGGGACCAGAGAATAGAATCAGCACACTGGTAAGGGGGAAAGAGAAGATGGGAATAGATTAAAGGATAAGAAACAGACTTGATGTGACTTGGTGACCGCGTGTAGAGACAAAGAAGAGAAGAATCACAAATAACTCACATCTCTGACTTGGAAAACTGCAACGGTGTTAGTATCACTCATTAATTTAGGAAACCCAGAAGAAGAGTCCTTGGCAGCAAGGAAGATGATGAGTCCAGTTTTTTCACTGCAGAATTCCTGGCACAGAGAACAATGCCAGGTACCCAGTAATGCTCAATAAACACTTACTTGTTGAAGGCGTGAACAAGCGGATACATTTTCCTATGGAAAAGTATCCTCAGCGGAGCTGAAAACTAGCTCTTTCGTTTTAAAGATTAAGACTGCAGGTTGTCACTCTACTATATCTGTTGAAATTATAGTCTTCGTCCACTACTTTATTTTAGGAAATCTAAAGCAATCTTTGCCTCTCTCTCTCCTTTTACTTTTCTTCCTTTCCTTGTCTCTTTCACATTATACTGAGATATAAAAATCCCCATACCATAAATCCACCCACTTAAAGTATACAATTCAATGATTTTTAGTATACTTACAAAGCTGTGTAACCACCGCCCAATCGAATTTTTAGACAACTTCATCACTCTAAAGACCCTCTCCCTAACCCTGTTGTTGTTGTTGTTGGGTGCTGTCGAGTTGGTTCCGACTCACAGCGCCCCTATGTACAACATAACGGAACAATGCCCAGTTCTGCACCATTCTCACAATTGTTATGCTTGAGCCCACTGTTGCAGCCACTGTGTTAATCCACCTCGTTGAGGGTCCTCCTCTCTTTCGCTGACCATCTACTTTAGCAATCGTGATGTCCTTCTCCAGGGACTGGTCCCTCCTGATAACATGTCCAAAATATGTGAGACGCAGTCTCGCCATCCTTGCCTCTAATAAGCATTCTGACTGCACATCCTACAAGGCAGATTTGTTCATTCTTTTGGCAGTCCATGGTATATTCAATATTCTTCACCAACACCATAATTCAAAGGCGTTAATTCTTCTTCAGTCTTCCTTATTCACTGTCCAGCTTTTGCATGCATATGAGGTGACTGAAAACACCACGGCTTGGGTCCGGCACACTTTAATCCTTTAAGTGAGATTTTTGCTGTTTAACTCTTTAAAGAGGTCTTTTGCAGCAGATTTTTCAATGCAATTTGTTGTTTGATTTCTTGACTGCTGCTTCCATGGGCATGGATTGTGGATCCAGGTACAATGAAATCCTAGACAACTTCAATCTTTTCTCTCTTTATCATGCTGTCACTTACTGGTCCCGTTGTGAGGATTTTTGTTTTCTTTATGTTGAGGTGTAGTTCATACTGAAGGCTGTAGTCTTTGATCTTTATCAGTAAGTGCTTCAAGTCCTCTTCACTTTCAGCAAGCAAGGTTGTATCATCTGCATAATGCAGGTTGTTAATAAGCCTTCCACTAATCCCGAAGCCTCATTCTTTTTCATACAGTCCAGCTTTTGGATTATTTGCTCAGCATACAGACTGAATAAGTATGATGAAAGGATACAACCCTGATGCACACCTTTCCTGATTTTAAACCATGAAGTATCCCCTTGTTCTGTCCGAACAACTGCCTCTTGGTCTACGGAGAGGCCCTCATAAGCACAATTATGTGTTCTGGAATTCTCATTCTCATTCCGTAATTTGTTATAATCCACACAGTCGAATGCCTTTGCATAGTCAATGAAACACAGGTAAACCCTCCCCCTCCCCCAACCCTAGGCAATCACTAATCTGCTTTCTCTTTATGAATTTACTGTTTCCATAAATTCATCTATTTTGGGTGTTTCATATAAATGGAATCATATAATATACGGTCTTTGTAACTGGCTTCTTTCACTTAGCATAATGTTTTAAAAGTGTATCCATGTTATAGCATGTATCAGTACGGCATTCCTTCTTATGACTGAAAAAATTGCATTGTATGGATGATACATTTGATTTACCCTTTCATGGGCTGATGGACATTTGAGTTGTTTCTACTTTTTTGCTACTATGAATGATGCTGCTATGAACATTTGTGTACAATTTTTTGTGTGGATGTATATTTTCATTTCTCTTGAGTATATATCTAGGAGTAGAACTGCGGGGTTATATGACAACTCTATATTTAACCTTTTAAAGAACTGTCTAACTGGCAGCTTTCCTTGTGTGTGTTTGTGTATGTGTGTGTATTTGTTCAAGCCTCTAAAAGAGAAAATGAGAGTTTCTGCTATAACAGCTTTTGTTTTAAGCCAGTTAGTAGCTGATGATTTAAGGGGGAATATTGAAAATAACAGAAATTATGAGAGTCTGATAGTCTGAATAACCTGCAACTGCATGGGAATAAAAAGCTCTCTGCTTCATACTTTCCACAGCACAAATTACTTGTAACAAGTTAAGGGTTAAGAAGTAAAAACTTTTTCAAAGTTTATCTCTTTAAGACTATGCCAGCTCTTTGACACTGGAATATATACATAAAATAAACAAGTCAAGAAAATATTTCAAGAAAAGTAATGTTTTAAGATTCCTGCACTGAATATAACTATAAAGCCTGTGACATCACTAATGTAAACATCACACTGTTTATTTTAGTTTATATTAGAGTGATGCCTCAGATACAGATATAAATCTTAGGTGCTGATTAATGCAAGGATGCTATTTCACTGCCTGACCTGCTGAAAGGCTAGTATACAGAACTGTAAAAAGATCACTTTAGGAAACAGGTCTGGAAAAGCTGTAACATACGAGAATTATTAAATATGAACTTTAAAAAAAAGTGAATACTAATAGAAATTTGGGAGTATTATTTCACACTAGTCAATTATTGCATCAGGTCAGCGAGGCTAATTTAGGAGCACTTTCTAAACTAGTTACAGTTGAGCTAGCAACAAATGATAAAGAGGTCTGCCAACAAATTAAATCTTCACTCTTAGGCAATTTAGATTCATTTTCAAAAAATAATCCATTAGTAAACAACCAAACAATAAAATATGATAATTAAAAATTGAAGCATCTAGAAGAAACTAAACTTTAAAATA